ATTTTGGAAGGGGGTGGGGATTACACACCCTCTAAAACAACTCGCCCCCTCTCCCAAGCCCACCCAATAATTTATGTATTGTAGGATACTATTTTTTTTATATTTTAGTCTAGTTGTATAGGATCGAGATAAGGATTAACTTATTCTGGCAATAACCAAAACAATTTATCCATAAATTAAGTGTAGACAACTTTTACATATCGGAAGTTTTGTAATTTGAAATTTTAATGTGAAAGTCTTTAGCCCCCCTTCCTCCAACACCTAAAAGTTTGTAAATTTCCTAAGCATTTAAGATTTTATTACTTACTAAATTTCAGTAAGTACGTTATTACTATTAATAAGAATAATTGCTGAGAGGACAGGCCCGGAACCAATTAGGGGGGGGGGGGGAAGTGGGAGGGTCACTGCTATTAGATACAGAAATCTATATTTCAAATAGGACATCTATATCCTTAAGGACCTTGCGCACAAAATCTTAGGTTGCTATGAATTTTTTACCATGTTGCGCCAAAATCTGTATGGTTTTAGTGATTGATTAATGATTTGATTTATATCTTGAAATCACATTAAACTTCCTAACTTTTTAGCTTGCATACATATCAAAAAAAAAATTGTTGAAAAATGAACACCCCTAATATATATATATATATATATATATATATATATATATATATATATATATATATATATATATATATATATATATATATATATATATATATATATATATATATATATATATATATATATATATATATATATATATTAGGGGTGTCGGGGTGTCCCCCCCCCCCCCCCAAAGCTGTCATTTAAGCACTTGAGTTAGCACATTGAGCAAGTTTTGATCTATAGTTGGCAAATTGCAAATATTGAGAACCTTTTTTTTTTTTTGGTGTTTCTAGTTGGCAAAAAAAAACATACACCCCCATAGAAGACCTCTTCGGGACGGCCCTGAATAATAGTATAATAATGATAATAATAAAAATAGGTTAACAAAAAATGTAACGGAACGATAGAGTGCGTTGGTAAGTTTTTATTTCTCGGAGATACAGTTAGATTAGCTGATGAGGCAGAAATTACATACTTTCAATTTCATAGAACTATCTTTTAACAGCAAACCAATAGGCCAAGACGTAAAAAATAGGGGTCTTTTAAACGTCTTTTAAACGGTTCGAACATTATTAGAACGTCTTTTAAACGTTTTGGACAATTTTTTAGGTCCTGTGCCCACTTGAAAGAAGTTCATTATTAAAAATTAAAGAAAAGTTATGCCTGTGAGGTCTTTGGATGTTTGACATGTTGTTGACTAGGGGTAGGGCGGGGAAATAAAAATTGCCAAAAAATTGTTAACATAATTAATGGACATCCCTATAGAAAGCTTTGATGTGTGACAGTAAAATTATGGAAATGAAGTCTGCTGATATTCAGCGTCTGAAAAAATTAAAGAAGATGGCAATCATTCGGATACGTGGCTTAACTTTGACGGATAAAAAATATTGGGCAGAGATTAGAAATAGTGAGTGTTTATGATGGAATATGAAGAGTTCATTGATAAAATATATAGGTTGTTTGGCACATAGAGCTAGCGATTAGGTATCAGCATGTAGAGAGTTTAAAGAGAAAGCTAGATATGTATAGATAAAACAGCATTGAATAATGTGTACATTTTAACGCAATAAGTATAAAGTAAAATAACTTCTATGGTTTTAAAGTGCTTTGTTTAAAACTTTTATGTTTAATTACAGCTTTGTGTAAACTATGTGGTTAGGTTTGTAAGTTAACTTAATGGAAAGTAAATATTAGGGAAGTTGATTTCTGGTTCTTATAAAATGTTTTAGATATATTTATACCAATTGGACAAATGTAAAAAAATCTTTTATAATGCAATGCAGAACATTTAATCTTTTTAAATCAAAATAATAAATTATTTCGTAATGCATGTGGCGAATATTTTTATAAGAGATTAATAAATAAAAAAGGACGAATTGATGCAACGAAGTTTAGTAAATACTTTTTTCTTTTTTCTTCTGCGTCTGAAAACATACTTAAAATTTTTACTTGATTAAGTTGTTTAAAACAGTTAAGTTAAACACAAAAGTCAGACGATGAGTGTGCATTACGTTGGCATATCCTTCAAATGTTAGTCGATTTAAACATATATATATATATATATATATATATATATATATATATATATATATATATATATATATATATATATATATATATATATATATATATATATATATATATATATATATATATATATATATATATATATATATATATATATATATATATATATAGCTTGCATGTTTAATTTTTTTTTATTTAATTTTTATTTATATATTAATTTATTATAATTAAACTTATTTCAACATAAAAATTTTTTATATCGATGGAACCAAATTATTTGTTACTACGAATTTGAACAACAAAACGATATAAAAATAAAACCTCCAGACAAAGTTCAAACAATTACATGTTATATTTGCGCAATTAAACGTTTATTTGCGCAATTAGACGTGTTAATTTTCAGCCGCAAAAAATCTTTTTTAAAATAATAAATTACTTTATAAAGCATACTTTGAATAAGAGAATATCAGTGAATATAAAATAATAATAAGAGTGCAATAAATAATGACAGAGGAATTGAAGTAACAAAGTTAATTTGACTATTATTATTCAATAATAAGTTATTGGACTTTTTTTTCAAAAATTAGTGAGTTTTATTTGTATATTAAATTATTGATATATTTAAATTGAAATATATATATATATATATATATATATATATATATATATATATATATATATATATATATATATATATATATATATATATATATATATATATCTTTATATATATATGCATATATATATGTATATATATATATATATGTATATATATATATATATATATATATATATATATATATATATATATATATATATATATATATATATATATATATGCATATTTATTTTTTAGAAAAAAATTGTTTTTGTTAATAAGTTGAAAAATTAGTATTGTTTCTCAATTGGTTTTTATATATATATATATATATATATATATATATATATATATATATATATATATATATATATATATATATATATATATATATGTATATATATGTATATATATATATATATATATATATATATTGTAGGAATTATGTTAATATTTACAGTACGAGTGCTTAATACTTATATATTTATATATATATATATATATATATATATATATATATATATATATATATATATATATATATATATATATATATATACACACACTTACTAAAGCATGTTTTGATAAGCATTTGCTTATAAACAGGGGTGCGCAGGTTATCGCGGAAAAAAATGAAAACAAAAATTTCGCGGCAAAAAATATGATATACAGTAAAAAACATTTTTGGCGGGAAAATGCAACACAGTTCAACAAGTTAATCCTTAAAAAATGCCGTTTTTCACTAATTTAGTTGTAAGAAATGGCACGATTTGCCTGCGCGCAAAATGGAAATGCAAGAAAACTTGTTTTTGATCTATGGAAACGTGGTGTGAAAAAAGTTGAAATTTGCAAAGCCGTGAAGGGACAGCTTCATAATTCCAACGTCTACAGACTCTTAAAAGACTTAGAAACTGGAAAAAATTACAAAAGAAAAAAAACAGGCCCAAATCGTTATGTGAGAACTAAAGAACTTCGAAATTCGATCGACTGCAAAGTACAACGAAACCCAAACAGGTCAATTTCATCCTTAGCTAAAGAAGTAGGTGTGTCTCGAAGGACTATGCAACGTGTTGTCCACGATGATCTGGGTATGAAGAGCCTTGTCAAGTCAAAAAGACAACTTCTGAGTGAGGCAACTAGAGCCAAAAGACGCAAAAGATCAAAAGAGTTACTAAATTGGTTCAAAGACCACAAAGATGTCCCTATCGTTTACAGTAATGAAAAAATTTTCACAGTTGAACCAGAACCCAACAGATACAATGATAGTTCTTGGTAAGTCCAGAAGAACAGTTCCTTTGGAACTGAGGACTATTCCAAAGAGACAGCACCCTGTGGGCGTCATGGTTTGGGCAGGTGTGTGCTCTGATGGGTCAAAAACTCCCCTTGTTTTTGTTCCTGAAGGTGTAAAAGTCAACCAGGTGACCTATGTCGACTTCATTAAAGCTAACCTCATTCCTTGGGCCAAAAAGAATTTTGGGGACGATCCATGGGCCTTTATGCAGGATAGTGCACCAGCACACAGTGCGAAGAAAACTGTCAGCTTCTTGAAAGAAAATGTTCCGCACCTTTGGACCCCAGATATGTGGCCCCCTTCAAGCCCAGACATTAATCCTATGGATTTTGCTATATGAAGTGTCATGGAGACCAAGAAGGCAGCCAAAACATATCCAAATTTGGCAGCCCTCCGAAACAAATTAAAGAAGATCTGGAAGAATCTTAGTCCGGACATGGTGCGACGATGCTGTGAGTCAGTTCCAGAGCGTTTGAAGAGTGTCATTAATGCCAAAGGAGGCTATTTTGAAATTCATTAGTGTTTTTGAGTAAAAATATATGTGATTTGGTATTGTGAAAAGTTTTACTTTGAAAATAAAACCCATTTTTGAGATATAAATATTTTTATTTTTCTGCGATAACCTGCGCACCCCTGTATATATATATATATATATATATATATATATATATATATATATATATATATATATATATATATATATATATATATATATATATATATATATATATATATATATATATATATATATATATATATGTATATATATATATATATGTATATATATATATATATATGTATGTATATATATATATATATATATATATACATATATATGTGTTTTGGAATCAAAATACTGGCATAATTTGATTCCAAAACACTGCCAAACAAAATAAGGTGATCTTAGAGTTGACCATAGATGTGTTTGTGATGTTATAACACTCTAATACAATAATTATACAGTCTAATAAATAATTTAATCTTTATTACAGTAATTAAATATTTTTGTTAAAAAGTAAAAATATTTTTTTTTTACTATAAAACATATATTAGTGATGTACACACTAACTTTAGGGGAGGGCGTATGTCGCACCTCCTTGCCACCCCCCCTGACTCAACAAAAAATAAAAATAATTTTATCTTTATTACAATAATTAAATGTTTAAATTAGCGGTAACATAAAAGAAGTAATTAATTTTTAAAAAAACCACATTAACTTTTAAATAACTATATGTAAAGATATTTATTAAAAAAAAGAATTCACTTTAAAAATAATTGTTGTAAGTTTTCATCGCAATATATCTTTCCTTTTTATAGCAATTAATTTGACGCTAAACTTTTTATCCAAATATTTAGCAACATGAAAAATTGTTTGTCAATCCTTAACTACAAATTCTTTGCAATGTTTTTAATAAAAAGTAGTAATTTTTTAAAGTTTTCAGTAAAAAACTTTAAAAAAATCTATATTCCATATTTATTAATAAAGAATATAAATGTTTTTTGTAATATAGGTTTTTTAAGAATTTTATACTGAATTTATAATTAAAAACATTTGCAAAAAAATTTGTAATTAAGAATTGACATTTTTTTTAATATCTCAAAAAATGTCTTAGCATTTTTGTTATCATGATAACAAAAATATCAAGACATTTTTTCGAGATATTAAAAAAACTGTCTTTGCTTTTCTTATTAGTTAAAGGTATATAGATACCTTTACCTTTAAGTTATGCGGGGGGAGGGGGTCAACACAGAAAAAAAATTTACCTGTTACTCGCAATATTTGAATGAAGACAATTTGTTAAATTTCTTCAATAAGTTTTTTTTTTTCATAAATCAAGTTATATTATAAGGTAAAGAAATCATGAAGAGACTACAACATCCGCTGATGACACTAATATTATGTTGAATTTATATTTATTTATATAACGTTGAATTTATATTTATTTATATAACGGAGATTTTATTATGCACGCGCACATTACAGGTTCCGTTAAATAAATTCTAAGGCACGTTTTAGTTTAATGACAGTCTCCATTTTTTACTAATGAATATATATTTTTCATTATAAAACAAAACAAACTAGTATATAAAAACCTTGTATATTTCTATTATCTCTAAATTGTTTAAAGTTCAAATATGGATTGTATTTTGAAGGACAAAAGATTTACTTTAAAAACTTTTAAATCTTGGGACTTTGCTCGATGCTTTGCCGATGCGATGATCACAGAAAAAGAGAAGACTTACGTTATTAAAATCAAATGTAAGTTATGTGATCTTCATCAAAATAAAATATTATCCAAAAACAATGGTGCCGTAAGGGCAACTGCCCAACGGTTTATAAATAACACAAGTCATGTTAAAATATTTTAACATGTTACTATATTTTAATTAAGTTGATATATAATTAAAAATAAAAATATAGTTCAATAAATAAATTAAATTTGTTCTTAACAAAGATTACCTCATATTTATTCTTTTTTTATTTTATTTAGTTAAATTGCTTACAAACGAAAAAAAAAAGAATTTTGTAATTATACGTAGAATGAAAATACTTTTGAGTTTGTTTATAAGTTAAGGAACTTAATTTTTAATAAACAAATTTTTACGAACGTTTATTATTAACATATACGATTCAAATTATTAAATATACTTAAATTATTTCAGTTGAGTATTTTTTTAAGTTTGCACGATTAAAGTTTTGCGTAAAAGTATTTGTTTTTTTGTTTTAAGAATAATTAACAAAAGAATTTGCATATTTAGACTTTTATATTTAATTTAATTTTTTTTTTTTTATTTCCTAAAATTTAATAAAAAAAGATTTAATCGTTAAAAACGATTTTTCTCTTTAGCTCTGTTTCTTTATGATTTGTTTAAAAAGTAAAGTATTTTTACTATAACATAAAAAATTTATGAATTAAATTCCTGGCGAACGCGCTCTAAACTATGTATCAAAAATATGCTCAAAGCAGACAAAACTTTTTTATATTTTTACAAAACGCAAGTTGAAACGCTAAGCAAGATAAATTTAAAAAATATTTAAAAACCTAAATTTTTCTTTGCTAGTCAAAACAAAATCGTTGTTTAAATAATTAACATGGGTTTGTGTTTATCAATGTTAATATTTTTTGTTTACTCTAGAAATTTTTTAAAATAAAAAAAATCATTATTGTTTTTTATTCAATAACAATTAAAAATAATTATTCAAAAACAAATTTCAGAAATAATTAATATATATATATATATATATATATATATATATATATTTTACTAAATAATATTGAACTAAAATTAATAATAAAATAACAATTGAAAACATTACAAAATTTTCATAATAAATTTACATTTAAAACATTTATAGTTATTTGAGTTAATTGTTAAATTGAACTAGTTTGCGGTTATTTATTTATTGCGGTAGTTAAAACACTTAATGTCTATAAAAAAAATAAAGATAATTTTATGACGTCAAAATCGCGTTAAGCTAATGCATTAAGTACTTTTTTATTTAAAACAAGACCTGCAATTGCAAAAAAGAATATGCAATTGATAAGAAATGCATACACATGTTAAAAGAAAAAAGGTTTTAAAACTTACCAGGTGTAGCACACGTAGAAAGAACTAAAGGTAAAAAATATATTATAAAAATCAATATTGCAATTAATGAGAAATTTGTGCGCATTAAAAAGAGTTGTTTAACTTACCAGGTGTAGCACAAGAGGTAGATACTAAAATTACAAAATTGTAACAAAAAATCTACATTGCAAATAACGAGAAATGCATACACATTAAATGTAATAGTTTTTTGAATTACTAGTTGTACCACATGACTAAGGAACTAAAGTTAAACATATTGTAAAGTTTACACATTAAAAAGTAAGAGTTGTTTACTTACCAGATGTAGCACATGAGGTAGATATTAAAATTAAAAAATTAGTATTGCAGCAAATGGGAAATACACGACAATTAATAATTAAATAAGTAAGAAATAAATATATTTATTTATATTTCTTTAATGGTTAATAAAAGTTATGCTATAATAACTTACCAGCTGTAGTCTGTGCAGATTGGACTAAAGATTACAAAAAAGTTGTATAATCAAAAAAAAACATCTTGAAATTGTCAACAGTCAATAAAAATAACAGTTATTAAATCAGTTCTGCTTTATGTACAACAACTTTACTAACAAAAAAAAGGTATGAAAAAATAATAAAAAACATAAATTGTATTACTGTATTTTAAAATTATATTACTGTATATGAGAAAAACACTAACAAGATATTTTAATAAGAATAAACTTATTGTTGTAAAAGTATCTTAATATTTTTACAAAAATAAGCTTATTATAAAAATAATTTGTCAAAACCTTTATTCGCTCAAGCCAATAAAGTTTTATTTTAAAGTATAATAATGTCCTTTGTATATTTTTATATATATGGTGTATTAACAACATTAATATCTGATACTATTAGTTACTAAAATATTCCAAAATAACTGTTTAATCTTAAATCCTAATCCTTTTTAATATATACCATCATTGGTATAAGTTTAAAGACCTTAATCTTTGTTTACATGCCATGTAAACAAAGATTAAACTTATCATTATTGTTTTTTTTTTAAAAAAAGTTATTATTATCATGAAAAACATATTAACTTTTTGAAGTCTTCTTTTCCATAACTTTTACCATTTCTATTTGAATTTTAATCTAATATTAAAAATTGAAACAATACAATCTAGTAATAATTTTTTTGTTAACAATCCGCCTCCCCCTATCTTCCCCCGTATTCTCTTACCAATAAAACGAAAACAAAAAAAAAAACGAATTTAGGTATCAAAAGTCCTACACTTCTTAAACTATCTGCTCCCAATTAATTTTTGCTGAAATTTGGCATGTGCAAAGAAAATGCATGTAAAAAATTGCCTAAATAACAAAAAAAGCGGACACAACATTCCTTCGACAACTAATTAATATGAGAACTTAACGAAATTTTCTTGAAAGTTTTCAGCAAAACTAACCATAAAAAAGTTTAGCAATTATACATAAAAGTACTATAAAAATCAAGCCTAACCTTTCTTCTTTTCAAATGTAACTTTTGTTTATATATGTTTCTAAAAAGAAGCACCACAAAAAACATTTGTTTAACCCGACCTAAAAAAAGCAGTATATTTAATTAAACACCTCGTAACATATCTGCTCCCAATTATTTTTGGTTGAAATTTGGCACATAAATAGAAAATGCATGTAAAAAATTGCCTGAATAACAAAAAAAGCGGACACGACTTTCCTTCGACTACAAATTCATGTGAAAACATCAACCAAATATTCAGGAGCAAAATAATCAGTTAAAAAGTTTAGTAGCCATACATAAAAGTTTTAAAAAAGTAAAAATTAGCTTCTCTTCTTTCCAAAAAGTATCTATATGTATATATGTTTCTAAAAAGAAACTCCACAAAACTACATTTACCCTACGCTGCCTAAAAAGAAGTGAAAAAAGCGAGTCACAAAATTTTAGCACAAAAATCGGTTTCGTAAATCATGGTATGCGCGTGCCTAATATATTAATATATATATATATATATATATATATATATATATATATATATATATATATATATATATATATATTGTAAAATGTGTAGGGGTTTTTTATTTTTGTAAAATATGTAAACTTTAGGGGGTGTAGTGTTTAACACAAATAAAAACCTGTCACAAACGCACACACTCAAATAGTTAGTCATAAAAAGTATAAAGTGTTCACAATAAATAAAAATGTTCAAATAAAAAAGGAAATCATATCATAATACCCAGCATATCGTCCTCTCCATGTCCCTCATCGTTTTCTCAACAAATTATTGTATACAGTAGATGCATAAATTTATGCATCAAATTTATGTATCATATAATATTTATGATAAATTTGATATAATTACAAACATATTATATATATACACATACATAAGTATATTATGATACTATTAATATCATTATAATCTTAGATATAGGCTTACCATAGGTCTCGTTTTGACCGGGATTGTCCCAGTTTTATGCCATTTATCCTAGCATCCCAACAGTTTTCGTTTTGTCCCGTTTTCGGAAAAAATGAATTTTTTGTTTCATTTTGTCCAAAACAAAAATCATGATTTTGAATTTTGAAAAAAAAAGCAGACAAAAAAAATCATATTATTTTGATACTAATACAAATACTAACAATTACTTTCTAGGTCTGCGTTTTATCAGGAATTCAAAGTCTTATTTTGGAATCATTTTGAATAACACTAACCGTTGACTTTAATAGTGTTTGTGCTGGAGTTTAACATTAAGTTCTTGTTGTGAAAATATATAAGTATTTTCATGTCTACACAGTTCGAGTAACTGAGTTAAAAGAATTTGTGATTTTGTAGAAGTGGAATATAGAAAAATAATCCAGCATGGAAGTACTAGATTTCTTTCTCTAATAACCGCAGTTGAAAGAATTTTGTATATGTTGGAGGCCCTGAAGTTATGCTTTGTTTTTCAAAAAAAATTTTTGCATGCTTTGAAAGCATTTTTTGAGAGTGAAACAGGTAAGTTATATTTCTGGTTTTGCATGGCCAGCTAAATAATTTTAACAAAACTGTATTAATTATGAAAAAAAGTCAATAAAAATGCAATTAACCTTATTTTCGAACTAAAAATATTCAAACCTAATCTTGAGGAAAAAACCAATTTCTACATTTAAGTATCTTTAGTATTTGCCAGAAACATCTGCACCTGTAGAGCGTATTTTTTTAATCATGAAAAATATTTGTTCAGATGACCAAGGTCTTTTGAAGTAGTTTACGGTACGTACATTGCTGTACTGCAAGTTGAACTTCAGCATTACATGCTCACTTTTTTGTAAAAAAATTTAAAATAATTATAACTTGCTAGAAAAAGTAATTTTACTAAAAAGTATAGCTCGTATAAAAACAGTAAATAGTTTTTTTCTCATATTTCTTATGTTAAATTTAACATAAAACACAAAAATATTTTGTTGTTGTTTCTTTGCTTTAGATCCCTTCAACAGCTGAGCAATCAAGCATTTTCTTTTTTATATAAAGACTTTCATGAAACCTTATTACAGGGTGCCATGTTTCTTGAAGCACAAAGAAACCATATTTCTCCCCCTCCTATCTGGTCTTAAGTGCTCCTAAGCTGCTTATAAATTTATTTACTGATTATAAAATATTTGGAATGAAGGTTTTAAAAAAAGTTAATCTACAAAATAGTGCACCTTAATTAGATTTGCAATCTTTAATTGTTTGGAAAACATCCTTTTTGAAAAGCATGTAAATTTTGACATATTGTTAATTGGATGTTACTGTTAATTGGAACTAATCAGTAAACAGTAAATCATTAGTTTTCTTAATATGTGTATTACCTCTAGGTTCTACCAATTTAAACTGGCTAATATATTATATTAGCCAGTTTAAATTGGTAGAACCTAGAGGTAATATACATGTTAAGAAAATACCAATTTAAACTGGCTAATATATTATAATAGCCAGTTTAAATTGGTAGAACCTAGAGGTAATATACATATTAAGAAAATTAATGATTTACTGTTTACTGATTAGTTCCAATTGTATATATATATTATATGTACAAAAAAGTTTGAAAAACAACAACAAAGAAATAAAAACAAGGATTGTGACAAAAATAAAATTAATACTTTCTGCTTTGTAAAGGGAATTGCAGTATTTAAAAAAAAAAAAAAATTAATTCATTTAAATGTGATCTCTTTTATTGTTGTTTCCACATAACAATAAAAAATCTGTTTATTATTAAGATTAAAATAATATTATTAAAAGTGTTTTCATGATGATAATAATGACAACACAAATAATAATAATATTAGTAACAATGTATGTAGTATACATGTATATTGTTAGAACTCTCCCTTGATTCAAATTCAGTGTTCAATGCTGGAGCAAGTAGGTGTTGAGTAAGAGGGGGGGGGGGTGTTTGCCTTCAAAATTTTGCCAACTAAAAAAAAAAGGTCCTTAAAATTCTAAAATTTGTAGACTAGATATAAACAGCCTTAGTCCCATTTTACTGACTGTTTCTAAAAAAGAGCTTCCAATTTGCCAACTGAAGGTACAAAAAGATCCCAATTTGCTGACTAATTGTGCAAATATTAATTGAATGGGTGGTCACCACTCTCCACACACACACCCATTGGATTGGTCTTACCAGATAATGATGATGATGGTGGTGGTGGTGGTGGTGGTGGTGGTGGTGGTGGTTATAATTGAAAGTAATATATAAAATTGATTTAAGTTTTTTATTGTCTTGTAATTTACTTCAATAAGATTTAGACCTGAATAATTTTAATTATATTAAAATTTTGCAATTTTTTTACATTTTTAGAAAAATAATAGTCATTATGAATCAAGAAAAATTGTTAGTTCAAAGTATATCAACAAAAGATAATGAAGATTCTATTCAGATAGACATAAGTGACAAACCAAAAGTAAGTCATTCAAAATCAACAGTACACGAATTATTTGCTAAGCAGTGCCCAACTCTGAATGTGACAGTGTTTAAAGATAGGGCTGAAGTCAATCGTGTTGTAAAAGTTGATGTAGAAGAGGGTGATACAGAGGTTTTAATTAGACAATTACCTTCAATTATTCAAAAAGATTCAATAAGGTAACTTGTAAATTTAAATGTTTTATGAAAATTTAGAGTTGAGTTTAATGGAGATAAACTTTTTTAAATAAAAAAAACGATTTTTAAACCATCTTTTATTCTAATTTTTAAGTTTGTTTGCGTAATAAATGCTATGCAAGTTATATGTATCTAAAGAACACAAAATATAGATCATAAAGTTAAACTCATTTCATTTACTGAAACTTTTAAACAGTTTTGCTTATGATCAGTGACGGATCCAAGATTTTTTGGTTGGGAAAGGAATTTTGAAATATTTTTGTATTTTGTGCCACATTTTGAGAGACATTTAGGTCTTTAAAAAAAAAAGGTCCTCAATTTCTATGATAATTTAGGACTTTCATATTCTGGTGGGATGGGGGGGGGGTGCATTTCCCCTGGATCCGACACTGCTTGTGATGCATATCTTTATAGTTAATCTCGCTGTCATCAAAAAATATATTTAAATAATCAAAAAAATATATATATATTTATAAAAAAATGTTTAAATTATTTTTTGGTTATTTTAATAAATTCGAATTTTAAATAAATTCAAAAACTTTTCTCATTAAACGGTTTAAAAAATAAATAAATCAGAAAACGTGAATTAATTGCTTTGCTTGATTTTATTCTTGACACATTTTTTTTAAATATATAATAAAATATATAAAAATAAATTGTAAACAAAATAATAAATTTAGATTGAAACTTTTTTAAAAATGAAATCCGTTGGTTGTTTGTGGCTTTTTTGAAAATAAAGTCAGTGGGTTTTTTGTGGCTTTTTTGAAAATAAAATCAGTGGTTTGTACCATCTGAAAAATATAAAGTTTTGGTTAATTCCAATGGTTCAATTGTCAAGGATAATTTTTTTTTTTTAATTTCAATTCACCTCCTTAAGGCCGCTACAATTGAGGAGGCTACTTTAGTTGTGGTATATTATGTATATCCCTCTCTCAACTCTATAACTCCGAAACACGAACCTTGGTGAACAAGGCCGCTGCATGGAGAAACAAGTTGAGCAAGGTACTACCAGGGACGTTGTGGGATCAAACTCGGAATCAAACAGAAAATATAAGCTCATGATCATTTCAAGTAGTAGCCATAATGGTTTATCTTAAATAAGTTGAAAAATATTAAATTTAAAATCTTTTGAAGTTAAGGAAAAAAAAATTAGTTGAGAAATAAAGTAGTATGGTGTCAATTATAGCATGTCTTTGAACCAAGATTGATTCAACTAAATCAATCTTGGTTGTTCTTGCCAGGCTTACTCCAGTGGATCTTATTTAGTTTTGAAGTCTGAGAAAAGAAAAATCTAAAATAGTTGAGAAGCCAAAACTCAAAAATAGACATGAAGTTGAAAGTATGCTTTTGGAATTTTACAAAATAGTAAAATCCAAATTAGTTGATGACTTTGACATTTTAAAGAAAAAAAACACTTGTTTTTTATTATCTCTAGATGAATTGACAATTGATAAATTGAAAAATTGTTACCATATGCAATCTTTACCAGAAAGAAAAAAGCAGGCCTGTTGTATATTTTATGTAAAAAATTGTTATATCATTTTATTTAAAAAAATCAACAACAGGCAATACTTGAAAAAGTGGCATGTGCTATGGTGTGTGGAAATGTTTTTTCTAAATTTGTTGCAGTTTTTTTTTTCTTCTTTTTTTTTTTTTTTAGTTATTTATTATTGTTATTTTCAGCTACTAAGTTTAATAAAAGTGGGAAAAAACAAGTTATTTAAAATTACAAGTTATATCTATTAAATATGCTTTAAACTGTGTCTTAAATATTAACTTGAATTTGTTTTTAATGTGTGTGCAATTTTTTATATTTTTGTCTTGTTTATTTTGTCATATAGTCATTTATTAGATAAACTATCATTTTAAATAAAAAAATAAAAGATAATTGTTCAAGATACAATGATACTTCTTCATGAAACTACTTAAAACTTTTTTTAATTCCTTTCTGCTGCAAAAGAAAGAAATAACTCTATTTCATCCACATTTAATTCGTAAGAGTTTCAGTATATGATCTATTGTGCCTTTTCAATATAACTTGGATTTAACATAAAATATAGACTTCTTTCTATTAATGCAATATTCGATATATAATGGCAATAATTCAAGACAGATGGTGATTTACATTGTCAAAGTGGCGCAGTAGTTAGAGTTTTGGCTTACAACCAAGAGGCTTGTGATTCAAGTCTGACTCTTGCCCATTAAACAACATTGGTATGGAAGGAAGTGTGAACTTCCTGGTTCAATGCTCTTCCATGGTGTTTTGTGATAAGACTGATAGGTCTTCTTGAAGCACCTAATAACTAATAATAATAATAAAAAAGCATCTCAGCGAGCTTCTAAAAAATAATACACTTTTACAATTTAAAAATACTACACTTTTTCTAAATTTTTGTCCATAACTATTGCAAATTTGTCTCCTATAAATAATTGCACGCAACAACAATCATGATTATTTTTTCAATTATGGTAGTGAATACTGCTAAATGATTTAAACGTTAGTATTAATGACTTTTTATTGCTATGTGTAACATTAAAAAATGTATTAATATATTTTACAAATAAATAACAAAAAACTCTTACTCTAATATAATTTTTTTTCCTTTTTCCCCTGAGGCTCCTACAGCTGTATGTGTTCCATTAAAGTAACTGGTTTTCGAGTTGCCAATGATAATTGTTAATGTAACAAGTATATGTATTGCAAAAAAGAAATTTAATAACCACCCAAAAAAAAAAAAAAAAATAAAAATAGTATACAAATTATTTAAATTATTAATTTTATTTTTATCAATTTAAATTTTATTTTAATTTCCTATTTTGTTAGTTTTGTTTCTTTATTTTTGAAAATTCGTTTTTTTCCCAGATTATTAAAACGCCTAATATAATAAAACTTGCAAACAACCGTGACCAAGTAGTCTAAAATAAAAAACTTATGCGTGGACCTACAAGACGAAAAGCCACACATGTATCCTGGTAAAGTTGGCAATATGTATTGGGAGTTGGTAGTCACTAAACTTATTCTTTTTTGACACCTTTATTTATGAAGCTGAAAGATGCTTCAGTGCAAATGACTTAATTATTACTAAGCTTAGAACATGGTTAGGTAAAAAAATACTTGGTACATTTTGTTTCTTTAAATCATGTTTAACCAGTAATAAATAGCTTTTATGGTTTTATTCACAAATAAGCATTACTTTAGCTACATGGTACAATTTTACAATTTTTTTTAATGTTAAATGTCTATGGTGTAACACTTATGTTTGATAGTTTTTCATAATGCTATTTTCTTATTTAAGATATTGTGGAAGAGTTGAAGCAATTTTTGCCATTAGATGTCTTTCCTGGCATTAACCTGTTTTAAAGATTGATGACAATATTTTTTTATATTATCATTTTAACTACTGTTTGAAGTAACTTTAGTACTTAAGTAGTTTTTTAAACAAGTACTAAATTTATACTACTTTAGTAAAATCAAGTAATTTTTTGCAAATTAAATAAAAATAAAATTTTATCTACTTTTAGCCTACTGTCCAATATTTACCAGCTACTTTTACTCTATAATCCAAGATTAACCAGCTATTTTTAGTCTACCATCCAAAGTTTACTAGCTACTTAGCCACAGTTAAACTAGGTGTTTTATATCAAAGTTTTCACTTTTCTAGGTAAGTTGCCTTTTCCATGGCTAGAGTCTAAGTCTCACCTGCCTGTGAACAAAAGTTACAATTTTTCTTTCAGAAACCTATTTGTAATGTTCCGCCTCTACTGATGCAGAAAACATCTCAAACTCAAAATTCAGACAATTGAACATAAATCTTTTATATTTATTAACATTATATAAAAAAATGTTTTATATAATGTTAAAATGATTCTATTCTTTCAATATAAGTATCTAAAACGAAATAAAGGAAAACCAGTTATTAACTTTTTTCAAATACTAGTACTAACTTGAGCCAACCTTCAACCATTGTCACATTGTCATAATGTTGCTTCTCTCTCATTTTTATAATTACTATAATGGATGCTGATCTAAAGAGCTAGCATCTCTCGTGCCATCTACTAAAATTCATTCTCGTGTTACTCGTCATTCAATTAAGTCTCATCCTTTTGCTGTGACTGTTCCTAAGTAGTCCAAAAATTCTTATTCGTCTTGTCTTTTTCCTTGAACATCAGTTCTTTTGTTATCATCAGTTCTTGAACATCAGTTCTTTGGAATCAGCTCTCTTTATCTTGACTTCCTAATTTATATAATTTGCAATCTTTTAAGTCATCTGTTAATTGTTATCTTGCTTTATAAACTTCATCTTTTTTCTTCCAGTAACTTCCAACTTTAATAGCAAGCCTTCAAAGAAGATGCATGCAATTTTCCTTGTTTGTCCATGAAAAATTTTTTTATTTAGACAACTTGGTTGTGGCCATTTGCAAATTTTGTATATTAAATGTTTCAATAGTTTGCAGCAAAAACAAAGAAAGCATAACTAACAAAATAGGAAATTAAAAAAAAAAAATTAAAATAATTTGTGTTCTGTTTTTATTTTCATTTTTTTAGGGTGACTTTATGCTAATTTGCACTTATGCCAATTTTTGTAACTGCTTCGCACTTATGCCAATGTTTGCAAATTTATTACCTAATAAATTTGCAAACATTGGCATAAGTGCGAAGTGTTATTTACCAAGGTACACTTATGCCATTTAGCATTTATGCCAATTCGAACTTATGCCAGTTTTTGCAACTGCTTTGCACTTACGCCAATATTTGTAAATTCTTTCGGTACAATTATGCCAATTTGCTTTTATGAAGATTCACCGTTATGCCAGTTTTTGCACCTGTTTTCACACTTATGCTAATGTTTACATATTCCTTTAGCGTACTTATGCCAATATTTGCAAATTTATTTGGTACACTTATGCCAATTTGCACTTATGTTAATGTTCACAAATTCCTTTAGTGCACTTATGCCAATCTTTGCAAATTCTTTCAGTGCACTTATGCCAATATGCACTTATGCCAGTTTTTGCACCTATTTCGCACTTATGCCAATGTTTACTAATTCTTTTAGTGTACCTATGCCAATTTGCACTTATATCAGTTTGCACTTATGGCAATATTTACAAATTCTTTTGGCTCACTTATGGCAATTCGCACTTATGGCAGTTTGCACTTATGCCAGTTTGCACTTATGCTAGTTTGCACTTATGCCAGTTTTTGCAACTGCTGAAATTCGCACTTATTCAGCCTCCTTTTTAGAATGTGTGAAAGTGAATAAAACACTTTTTCTTTTTTTTAAAAAGGGAAAATTTTTTTTTGTTTAAGAGAACACTTTTCACAAATGGATTTAAAATTTTTTGTTTCTTATTAATTCCAAATTGTGTAAAGTAACTTTTGATGTATTTTTTTTAAGAACATAAATTATGTTTATGAGTATCTTACTTATAATCGATAAAATCTATCTATAAATTGTTTATTTTCTTTAATAAAAATAGTTCATTAAAAAAAAAGAGACAACAAGCCTTTTCAGGAAAGGCGTGCAGTTGCACACCATATATGACCATGCACATGCAGTATTTTGTTTTGACATCTTGGCCACAGCACTTTGCATGATAATTTGCATGTTTTTAAAAATGCGATGAAAAAATTAAACTGAAGAGAATATAAAAAATAAAAAAAGAGTATCATATCTTAACAAATAATAAAACAATTTACAAAAATATATATAAATTAGTATAGAAGTGTCTCTATTAGTAGTTTAAAGTAAATAATTTTTTCAATATGTTAGTGAAGCGCAACTGTTTGTGCGGTGTTGAATAAAGGTTTAAATCCTTTTAACGGATTATTTTTTGTTATGTTTTATTTACTTGGTAGACATTGGAAAATATTAAAGTTTTCAATTTTTAAATAGTTGAGTTTCAAAATAATTAAGCTTGGATTAAATCTTTTCTAAACTCCATGGAGTGAAATTTTAAATTAAAAAAACAAGTTCATACCTTTATTTTTTTCTGGTTCATCTATTTATTTTATAATTTGTCAAAATTTTAAATTTTTTCAAACAAACTTTATTTTTTTTTTAATTTTATCTGAATTTATTATATTTGTAAATAATGAGCATATTTTATTTATTTGTAATTTAAACTTTTGTCACAATGGTGTGCAATTTCTAAAATATTAACTATATTAAAATACTGTTAAAATCAACTATTCCATTGAAATACTGCTTAAAAATATCGATAGAGTTATTTAAACCAAACAAAAATGTTTTGAGTGTAATGTAAATATTATAGCAAAATGTTAAATCGCTCTTCACATGCATAAAATGCTCTACACCTGGCTCTTTATCACAAAGCTTGAATGAAATCAGAAGTATTTAAGATTACTTCAAGTATCCTGCCCCATCAAGAAAAGAGAACAAGAATACTTATCATCTTGTTTCGTTCTTTCCAACTTTTTACTTGAAGACAACCATTAACTGAGAAGTCTCTTTACTGACAGCTTTACCTTTCAGTTTAAAATATAAGTTTGTCTTGCAACTTCCATAATTTCCAGTCGGGTGAGAAATTATGTTTAAACAGTATTCAGGGTCTACAAATTTACTTATCGTTTGAAACCATAAGCTATTTTTCTACAATGATAAACATTTTGATGTGCATACCATTTAATTTGAGAAATGGAAGAAAAATACCTTCAAATGCTCCTTGTAACTTATTGGTTGAGGTGAATTTTTTTAAAGAAAGCGATTGCTATACTATATATAAATAGGACATTTAAATAGGAGTTTAATGACTATAACAAGAATATTATGAGAGAAACCTGTTCTAACCACACAAATGTAAAACTATGGACATTTAAATAGGAGTTTAATGACTTTAAAAAGATTATTATAAGAGAAACCTGTAATAACCACACAAATGTAGAACTATGGACATTAAACATTTAAAAGAAAAAAAAGTCTTTTGAAGAAAAATATTTAAGGCAAAATTTACCATTTTGGTTAGGGAAATTATGCTTTTGACTTCTGAAAGCCCATTTGTTAGAGTTGAAAAAGTTTGAATCGTATCAATATCTACAAACTTTAAATCTAGAAAACTGTATCTTTAATAAAATGTTTAATTTTTTTTAAACAAAAACATTAGACAGACCAGAAAAAAGCTGTTGAATTATTTCAAAACTTTAAAGTTCTGAAGGAATTGAAATGAAGTGAAGCATTGATGATGATTTAAAATTCTTTCATAAGTAAGTTTCATTATTAGTGTTTTGTGTTGTTAAAACAGCTTTTTATATTTAAGTAAAAAAATGTTATCTCATTAATAAATATTGCATTTTGGTAATCCCTGCAAGAAACAATATAGATTTTCAACTTATTAAACTGATTTTTTTGATCAGTGGATTTAGAAGATTTTATCTATGATGAACTTAAAGATCAGCTAAATCATAAAATGATTTTAATGATCTATTGAATGTGGTTTAAGTTGAAAGATTAAGGGTGCTCTTTCTTTTTTGAGAAATAAATCTCTCTCAACATTACAAGTGATGATTCTTTTTTCTCTTTTTTTAGATGGGAAGTTTTCCTGTCTACAAATATTCTAAAGAACACAGCTGTAATGGAGCTGTAACACTAATAGAGCTGTAACACTAATGAACCTGTAACACTAATGGAGCTGGTATTTAGACATCACAGTGCTATTATAAAATTTACAATAGTGTGCTTATGGCATCACCAACAGTTTTATTTTATTTTATTTTGAAACCACCACATCGAACACAAGTAAAAATAATAGGGGGGTTCATGTGAAAATAATAGGGCTTCATGTGAAAGATTATTTGATACTGTAAAAATACTTATTGCAAGTACTCTTTACTTTGTGAAAAGTGCCATATCCATAAGATCCAGATAATGTACTTTTTAGTATACTGAAGTTTGTTTAGAACAAAATTCCTTTAATTTGAGCAAATTTATAACACTAAATAACAAACTGTGTTCCTTCTGAGATGCCTAAAATACAAGTTGTGCGATCACAAAAAAGGAATTTAAAAGTTTTTTATATTATCAATCAATAAAAATAATTTAGCAAAATGGGTTTTCCTAAATTACAGCATTAATTTTTAGGCTATAAAAACAATGTGTAAACAAAATGTTCAGTGATAGTTGAAGTAATCTTAGTACCACCTAATCATTTTTTACCTAATCTCATCTGTAATGACCGAATAATCATTTTTTTATTTGCTTAAAATATGGTGTTCTAAGCTCCTATTAATCTATTGTGTATATATTATTAGTGATTGAGCAAGTATATATTATATTGTAATTATATATGTAATAACTTTTTTATTTGAAGGTAATATTGTCATTATATATGTATTAATTTTTTTAAATTTGTCAACTATTTAAAAAGGCTTTATAATATATTATAGGGTAACTTGCTATACTGAAAGTGTAACAATAGTAGAGGTTGCTTTCCAAATTAAATCAGTTGTTGAAAACAGTAGTAATGAAGATGAAGAGAATTTAAAAGTTGAATCTGAATCTGATAAGATTTTAAAAAGATTAAAAATTTTAAAAAAGGAAAAAACTGTTTTACTTGAAAAATTGAAAAGAAATGAAAAAGAAGCTTCTATTCTGGATAGTTACGCAAATTGTATAACTGAGGTAAAAAAAAAAAGTATTTTGACTGTAATTGTGTTTATGTTTATATGTGAATATTTTTATTAGTTTATATAAGATTATTTGATTTACATTATTTGTTTTAAGAAAAAAGAAGACAAAGTGGGGGAAATATTGGATAAAAAAAGTATTGAAAGTATGCTGCACTTTCTTTCTATTTATAAAGATCGAAGCGAAAAAATAACTGACTTAACAATCTCATTGAATGAAAATCTTGAATCAATTAACAAAGAAATTGATGTTCTTACTGATAACCTCAATAGATTACAACCACCCAAAAAAGAATACAAAGAAGAAAGGTAGTTGTATTTTTCATATAAATTTATTCTTTGTTACATTTAAAACAAAGTAAAGCCTACTATTTATTACTTTAGTTGCATATCTATCTTACTTAATGTTAAAAAAAACACAAATGCTAGTCTTGTTGTTTCGTATGTTGTCCACCCATTAGCTAGCTGGACTCCCTTTTATGATATCAGAGCATTCAGTGCAGACGATTCATTACAGGTAGCTTTTAATTTTATCGTTAGATCTTACTGAAATTAATTTTATAAACAGTAAATTTTAAGTATAATTGTTACATACTTATTCATAGAGTTGTTATAATTGTTGATCATTTCAAATCAGCAATTAAAATGTGTATTTATATCTTTAATGACTTTTTTTTTTATCAACAGCTCTCTTTTGATTTGTTTTTATTTTGGTTGAAACTTTTAAGTGTTTAGAGTTTAGCTTTTTATTTATCAATTTTCATTTATATGTTGACTTTTAAATATTTAAAACAATATATTGTTTAAAACATTTTAAAATCTAACCCATTTAATACTTATAAAGCATATTAGATAATAATATGTATTTAATGCATTTTTGTGTTATATTAATTTATCCAACTATAACACAAAATTTATTTTATACTTTTTAAAAATTTCAAAGTGCTTGATCTTGAACAAAATCACTAGATTAAAAAAATCTTTTTGATTTGTAAACAAATATAAAAAAAATTTACATTTTAAAAGCATTTTTCAAAAAAGCATGATGGAACACTGTGTTGCTAGTAGTTTAATTACTCCAAAGTAGCATCTTTATTACAAGGGCTGTGTCTCAATCCTTCTAGAGACTCAAGAATCCTGACAAGCAATTTATCAGGGCTAAGCACTACCGCATTGGTGATTTGTAGAAAAGCAATTTTATCAATTATGCAATAAAAAATGATAAAAAAAAATTGCATCAAGTTGCTCTTAATTTTTGGATAAAAATCAACTCACTATAAATTGTCTAGAGTTTTGCTCTATAAAAATGATAACATTGAGATTACCTAACTAAATATCACATTCGTAACTAAGCGCCCTGATTTCTTATCTAAATATTGAAATTTACTGCATTATCGAAATAAATCAAATTGCGATTATGCCAGTGCTTAATCAGGGCCAGGCATTAGATGTCATTTACACAAACTTCACAAAGGTATTTGACATTTTAAGAGCTTATGGTAATAAAGACGCACTCTTAGACTGGACCTCAGCTTGGCTACTCAAAAAAAGTCAACAAGTGGTTATCAACAGCATTATATCTGAATTGAAAGCAGTTACTAGAGATGTACCTCTAGGCTTGGTCTTGGGTCATTGCTTTTTGTAATCGTTAAAAATGATCTTCTGAACAGCATCACTCATCATATGAAACTGTATGCCGACAACATCAAAATTATAGCATAATCAAACATGAGTCTGACAGCATAATAAAAACAATATCAACACTTAAACACTTGTCCTATTAAAATCAGCTTAAATGGCTAGGCCTAACAACACTTGGAGAATGCCATAAAAGACTCAACAATTTAAAATCATTCATTAACTCGAACTTTTTGACTTCTTCATCCCTCAAAAACATTCAAATAGAAAAATCAAATATATTCTATATGGATGTAACCATAAACTAGAATATCATCTAGCAAGAAATTATGAAGATCCAAATAACTTTTTTTCAAATAGAGTTGTTGCCCCTTGTTGCCCCATGAAATATGTCTTTGCAAGCTGCAGTGACTACATAAAATTGGTGTAGCACCTCTTCATTAAATTATAAATAAATTTAGTTTATTTGTTTTTTGATCTTTGAATAATAATAATAGTAATAATAATAATAAATAACAGACTATTTTTTTTCCATTGAGTTAAATTTATAATAGTGCTAATTTAAATTTATATAACTAAATTATTTTTAAAATAATTTTTTTTTTTTTTTTTTTTGAAATAATGAAGTAATTTAATTAATAGAATTAATTGCGAATGTATATGTCTTGTAAGTTATTTGCTGCTCACAAAGGCATGGAGTTAGCGAAAGGTTAAAAAAAAATTCAAAAAATGTTTATACTTTCTTTTTTGGTTTTTATATGAACATGGCTCACAAGTTTTTAAAAATAATTATGTTTAAATTTTTTTGTTGTTGCTGTTTTAGTATTTTTATCAATATTCTAAAAAAAATAATATTTTTTGCTGCAAAAAATGCTTTCTATTATTCTTGTTATTATTAAAAAGGTTTTTTTTTTTTGGTTTTTTTTTTTACTTGTCAGAAATTTAAAAATCTTTTTCATATAAGGTACAAGAAAGTCCTTTATTGAACTAAACTAAATTACTATCATTGGACATAGTATGTTTAATTATAGATAAGCTAAAAATGGAATTAAAAAAAACTTGTGGTAAATCCTGGTTTTAATTTTCCTCTTTAGATTTAAAGAAACTAAAATTCTATTTTACAAATCTTAGTGCCTGAATTTATTTATTTCTCCTGATTTTTTTTTCCTTTATTTATTCGTTTATTTATTGCTTTTTATAAATAGATTTTATATTTCGCAAATGTTTGTCAATCTACTGGTGAAGACTGGAATGATTGCAAAATAACTCTTAGCACTGCTTTGCCAAGTGTTGGTGGTAGTCCTCCTGAATTGCTACCATATAACTTAGACCTTGAAGAGCCTGTTAAAATAGCAAGACGCTCTGTTAGTAAAACCAGTTTCAGGTATTTTTAGTTTCTTAAAAATTTTAAACAACAAAAATATTTCTTGTTATTGTAAAGTGTTTTCATATTTTTTAGAGGTTTTTTTTATTTTTAATTTATTTTGTTATTTTACATTTACAAGTTAATTTTAATAAAAAAGCTCAGTTTATTTATTTATTTATTTATTTAAGAAATATCATTTACAATTTTTCTATTATAAGAACTCTCCATGACAATTTTTCTTTTTTTTATTTAAAATAACTATTTCAATTCAGAACATCATTTTTGAAAAAATCACATCTGGAAAATATTGAGCAGGATCGAATACTGGATTGTGCTCCACAAACTTGTGCTCTAATGCTTATGGATTCTCCTATGTCGATGCCAGTAGCAAAGGTTATATAAAATTTTTTTGATTTTAATGCTTTTGTTACTGTTAATAATTACTTGAGTAGTGACAAACAAGATTGTTACATAATTAAAAAATTATTATGTATGAGCATAGTACTACTTGGGGCATAGTGGCGATCAATGTTGTAGTCTTGTGTTAAAGTATGGGGCAAGGGAAAACATTAAATATAATTTGGGGCTTCACTATATTCATCAACTATCTTATAGCCTGCTGCCACAAAAGAGTATGGCTACATGACTGAGGTTCTGGGATGGGGGCAGCAATATTTTTTTTTCATTTTCTTCTTTTTTTGAAAAAGCGGTATGCTATAAGATAACTAAAACTAATATATATATAAATATATATATATATATATATATATATATATATATATATATATATATATATATATATATATATATATGTATATATATATATATATATATATATATATATATATATATATATATATATATATATATATATATATATATATATATATATATATATACATACTTACGGGGACAGATTTTACAAAAAAATGAACATTTACTGTGACATTAGCGTTATCGGAGGCATTTTAGTGTACCCATTAATTTTTTGTCCCTGTAAGTATGATTTTTTTTGTAAAAAAATGAACTCGTTGGAAACTTTTATAGAGAACGAAAAGTACATACATCGACTGACAAATAGCCTGACTCGCAAGGGAGTGCTGCTACATCCAAAGAAAACCTAGATCTTTTATCTAGGTTTTCTTTGAATTTTCTCAGACTGTAAGCATACACGGCCCATTATGATCCACTATAAGAAATCACATTCTATAAGATAACTAAAACTAATATATATATATATATATATATATATATATATATATATATATATATATATATATATATATATATATATATATATATATATATATATATATATATGTATATATATATATATATATATATATATATATATATATATGTATATATATATATATATATATATATATACATATATATATATATATATATATATATATATATATATATATATATATATATATATATATATATATATATATATATATATATATATATATATATGTATATATGACTCGCAAGGGAGTGCTGCTACATCCAAAGAAAACCTAGATCTTTTATCTAGGTTTTCTTTGAATTTTCTCAGACTGTAAGCATACACGGCCCATTATGATCCACTATAAGAAATCACATTCTATAAGATAACTAAAACTAATATATATATATATATATATATATATATATATATATATATATATATATATATATATATATATATATATATATATATATATATATATATATATATATATATATATATATATATATATATATATGTATATATATATATATATATATATATATATATATATATATATATGTATATATATATATATATATATATACATATATATATATATATATATATATATATATATATATATATATATATATGTATATATGACTCGCAAGGGAGTGCTGCTACATCCAAAGAAAACCTAGATCTTTTATCTAGGTTTTCTTTGAATTTTCTCAGACTGTAAGCATACACGGCCCATTATGATCCACTATAAAAAATCACATTCTTGCACGCACACACACAAACACACACACGTATATCATAGATGAGTTTTTTCTGAGAATTCCCGAAATTCACTTGAAACTCATTTAATTTTCCAGAAATTCCCAGATGTTTTTTGTTGTTAATTAGAAAAAGGTTAAATAAAATTTTAAATACAATAATGTTTGCATTTAAACAAATGTTTAAATGCAAATGTTATGTTTTCTATGAAGGATTGTCCATAAATTACGTAATGCAAACTTTCACAATAAACAAAACAAAAATATAAAATAGATAAAAAGTTTTCCCTCCTAAAGTCTTTTTTTAAAAAAAAAATTTAAAATTAAGTTTAATGAAAGCCCATTAAGTTTAATGAAAATCACCACATAAAAGAGCTTATATTTAAAAAACAGAAGTAGGAGATACTACTTCTGTTTTTTATATATATTTTGCGTTGTGCAATTTATGGACGATTCCTAATTGAAATTCAATTAGGGATCATCTTGATCATCTTGTCAAATTCACAAGATCAATTCCTGTAACAATTTTTTTTTCTTTTTTTTTTCTAATTATTCAAATCAACTTTTTCGAATATTAGAAATTCCTTTTAGTAAAAAGTTAAATTATCTACATTCTGTTTTAAAAGTTTACAAATGTTTAAAAAATTTTTAAAAATTGAATTTCATTGGAAAAACAGAAAAAGAGCAGCCGTAGCATAGTGGTAGCGCACTTGCCTCAAAAACAAAGGATTCGTGGTTCAAACCTGACCTCTGGGCATGTTTTGCGACATCGGTTAGGAAGGAGTTGTTAATTTCCAAATAAATGCTCATTTGTGGTGCTCTGTGATAAGACAGTAAAGGTTTCTTGGGGCACCTAAATAAAAAAATGTTTTTAAAATATAAGTTCAATGCAGAAAAAAAAGATCACCTTTTGTGAACGGTGCAAAACAGTTAAAGAATCTATGATCATGCTAAAAAGTCAAGAAAAAGAAAAGCTGACAAATGTTTTGCAGCAGAAAGTTATAAGAATAAAAAGTATTAATTTCTAAACCATTGTCTGACATTTTATATTTAAAAAGTAAATAAATTATTACGCTTTGCAGATTATTTACAGATTATTTACGGTAAAACTGAAATATTATATTTGATTTTGGAGAATTTTAAAGGAACATAATTTATTTAGTAGTGTTTAGTTATTTTATTTATTCCTTTACCAATGTTCCCAAATTTACCCACATACCTTTGTCAATTTGTTGACCGTATAATTTTCCGGGATTTTCTATTAAAATAATTTTCCGAGATTTGCATAGAAAAAAATTTATATATATATAAAAATTTTTATGTATATATATATATATATATCATAGATGAGTTTTTCCGGAAATTCCCGGAATTCCGGAAATTTACTTAAAACACCTTTAATTTTTCCAGAAATTTCGGGATGTTTTTTGATATTAATTTGAAAAAAAATTAATATACTTTTACATAAAATTTTACATACGACAACTTTTGCATTTAAACAAATAAGTTTTCTATAATTAAAATTTTCACAAGATAAATTTTCGTTAAAATTTTTTTTTCTTATGCTTTTTAATTCATTCAAACTTTTTCGAATATTAGAAATTCCTTTTTGTAAAAAGTTAAATAATCTAAATTTAGTTTTAAAATAATCTAAATTCCGTTTGTCAGTTAAATGCGATCAATTTTTAATAAAATAATTTTCCGGGATTTTCCAGGATTATCATAGAAAAAAAATTTCAGATTTCATAAAGTCTTATTTTCATAGTCAAATAATCATCTATGATATATATATATATACATATATATATATATATATATATATATATATATATATATATATATATATATATATATATATATATATATATATATATATATATATATATATATATATATATATATATATATATATATATATATATATATATATATATATATATATATATCAAATAATCATCTATGATATATATATATATATAAGTCAAATAATATATATGATATATATATATATATATATATATATATATATATATATATATATATATATACATACACACACATACATACATACATACATACATACATACATACATACATACATACATACATACATACATACATACATACATACATATATACATATCAGCGGTGGAAAGTAACAAATTACATTTACTCACGTTACTGTTATTGAGTAGTTTTTTTTGTGAGTTTTTACTTTTTGAGTAGTTTTTTAAACCGTTGCTTTAATTTTTTTTCTTAAAGTCATGGTAGTAAAGTTTGATTGGTTTATTTTAAGTCACAGCTGCTAATATTATTGGTTGATTTTGAAAGTTTTATTTGTACAAATTTAAAAAGAATTTCAGGTTCACATTGCACATATAGCATTGTGGTATCTCATTGGTTCATCTTCCACGGTGATCTGGGATCGAGTCCTTCACTTGGAAAAATTTTTTTAATTGTTTTTTTTACTATTTTTTATTGAAAGTTATTATTGTTGTATATTGAAAGTCACTTTGATTTTTATTATTTGCATACATCAACTGATATAGGGATAGGCGCAGTGAGTGCACATGCATCTGTCAAGGATTTTGGTTTGGGCATCCATTCTTTAAATAAAAGGAAAAAAAACAACTAATCAGAAATCACTAATGTGACTTTAAGAAAAAAATTAAAGCGATGGTACCGTTGCGCTAGACACAGCGTTTTTTTAAATGTTTACTTTTACTTAAATATATTATTTTAACATTTTTAGCTACATTTTAAATCATATGTTTTTAAGTAAAAAAAATTTATTGTGTATTAGTATTTAATTTCTCAAAAAGTATTTTTTTCTAGTTAATAAAAATTAGCACCTGTTTTTATAAAATTGTGTCCTTAAAATTTTCAATAATGTTTTCAGTGAAGACATTAAAAATGTGCCTCTCGTATGTTTCAAATTTTAATCTTTCTTTTAGAATTTAAAAAGAAAATTTTGAAAATAATTTTAAATAGAAAATTTAAAATGAAGATTTTCTATATTTACATTATGTACAAATTATTATGAAAAAACATGAAAAATAACTTATTAGTTATTTTCAATTAATTATATATCATAGTTACACAATTATTGGCTTTATTTTGAAGTTGTTCTTTTTGATCCTTCTTGTATTTAAGAAAAAAATTATTTATTCAAAGCATTTTTTTACAAATATGCATAGCCTGCATATCTTCGCAAAATATAATGATAAATTTGCCAATTCTATGTGTTTCTGCAAATTTTGCAAGAACAAAAAAAAACATACTTCAACTAATAAAATGAGTATTAAATTTTAAATAATGAGTATTAAATAATGGCATTTTTTAAAATAAATTTTAAATAATAAGTATTAAATAATGGCATTTTTTAATATCGTACTTTTTGTATTAAAAAATGCACTTAAAAATAGTACTTAAATATAATAATTGTAGCGATATACAGAAAAGAATAGACCATTTTTTTTTTTGACAGGTCTGTTACCTGAAAATGGCTGTTAAAAAAGTAACCCGGTAACATTTACTTTGAGTACATTTTTAATGAGCTACTTTTTACTTTTACATTCAATTAGTAACATTTACTTAAGTAAAATCTCACTCAAGTAACAGTACTTTTACTTGAGTAAAAAATTTTGTTACTTTTTCCACCTCATATATACAAACACACACAAAAGGTAAAGGCAAAAAGCTAATAAAATAATATTGATGCTGTAAGATCCAATTAATAGTAAAATCTTGATTGATTGTAAGTTAAACTCTTCAAGATCACAATACATTCACCAATGTTTCAGATAAATCTGTGAAATAAAGTACTAATAAAATATTTGAGAAAATTAATAATTTAAAAAAGATTTATAACATTTCTAAAAGAAAAATATCAGACTTGATCTAAGATTGTCAATATATTTCTTATTTAATTTTACTTTTTGGTATAAGACATTTGTGCAATGTGGTAATTTCACAAATAGTAATGGTGCTTGAATCTATGATTTATAACAATTTGATTTTTGAAATCTCTTTGAAAAAAAGTTTTTAATGCTTTAAATGTTTTTATAATTCTTACAAAATTTTTTTTTAGGCTTTAGATGGAATGACAAGCACAAGTTTTGAAATCACACGTCTAACATCTATACCATCAGATTACAATGATCATAAAGTATCAATCTGTCAGTTAAATTTTTCTCCTAAATTTGAATACATGGCAACACCAAAGTCTGTTGCACATGCTTTTTTAAATGTTAAAGCAAACAATGACAGTGCATATCCGTTATTGAGTGGATATGCTAATGTATTCTTAGATAATAACTTTCTGACACGGGTAAATATTTATTGCAATTTTTTTATTTTATAAAAAATTTTAACTTTTAGATTTTAACTATTTAGATTTACTAATTTTTTTTCGTTGTTGTGCATTTTAAAAGTAATCCAAAAATATTAAAAAATCACATCATTTTTCTTTGGTCACTTGCATGGAAAGAAAAGACATATGAAAGAGTCGTAATCGTTTGACATCTTCCTGGATTTAGTTTCCACTTGTAGCATATATTAAAGCTAATTTTGATTTTGAGTAGTCATTTTAAGTAGCAACTGTGAGTTGAAAACAGAACATAAATAAAGTCTTTATTATTTATCACTTGCACAGCCCTCGGTAATAAGGTCGGCATAATGTTTTATGGTAAAACCTTTGTATCAACTTTTTTTTTGTTGACCTGATGCCGATCTTTAACTGCAAAATATTGCTGACCTCATTTTTCCAAATTCCGAGGGCTGCTTGCATGAGTAATCCTGTACAAATAATAAAGACTTAAGTGTATTTAGGTTTTACATGGAATGACAAGCTTAAGTATTTAAATCCCACATAGAACTTATATGCCATCAGATTACAATGATCTAATGTATCAATCTGTATGTTGATTTTTTCTTCTAAATTCAAATGCATGGCAATACTCAAGTTTTGCAGCACATGCTTTTTTTTTCTAAATTAGAACAAATAATGACAGTAAATAAAGTATTCTCAGCTTTAGCCTAAAATTTAAAGCTTTAGTAATGTGATGTAAAAAATTGCTTAGATTTTGCTTTGATCAGATGATTTAGTTGTTATGATTTTAAAAGATTTAGTTGTTATAATTATGAAAGTCTGGTATTATTATATTAAATTTAGCTTTATATTTTAACTTTATGCATTATGTAAAGTTTGTATGGTCTTTATCAAGTTGATGTCAGTAGTAAGCTATAAGTTTTTATCCTTTTGATATTGACTTATGCTTTTTGCTCATTGATGTTAGTTTTACTGTTTATATTTGTCTTGTTTTGTTGTTGCAAAATAAATTATAATTCATAGTTAATAAATAAAACCAAAAAAAAAAAAACTACGGCTAATCTCAATCGATTTTTTATTGCTGGCAGTATATGTCATTGTTGGCAGTATATGTCATTGTTGACAGTATATGTCATTGTTGGCAGTATATGTCATTGTTAGCAGTATATGTCATTGTTGGCAGAATATGTAATTGTTGACAGTATATGTCATTGCTGGCAGTATATGTCATTGCTGGAAGTATATGTCATTGTTGACAATATACGTCATTGTTGACAGTATATGCCATTGTGGTTTTAATAGTCTTATTGTATCATTGATTTATAAAATATTTTGATAAATTTTATTAATTTATTATATTGTTCAGTTTTTACTATTTTTTAGCATTTTATTATAGACGTGTTTACCTGCTGTGAGTCCAATGGAAGATTTTGAAATTGCTTTGGGAGTGGATCCTGCTGTAAAAGTTACTTATAAGCCATTGCGCAAGTTTCAGCAAACAAGTGGAATTCTTTCTAAAACTCAAGTGTATGATTTCCATCAACAGATAGAAATCAAAAATACAAAGCGAGATGCTATTAAGATAAAAGTCACTGATCAATGCCCTAAAAGTACTAATGAAAAAATTAAGGTTTGTTCAGTTAATATGTTTCCTAATTATCGTAATTTTTTGTTATAAAGATTTCTTTATAAAGAAAGCTTTTTTTATTATGAAGGCTTCTTTTCATAAATAATGCTTTTTTTAGGTTACGCTAAAAGAACCTGATATTAAAATACCAAAATCTACTTCGACCAGTGAACCGCCACTGATCACTCACGATAATGTGACGCTACATACATCTGACTACAAACTTGAATGGATACTTGAAATTGCTTCAAATGAAACCAAGACAATTAATTTACGATATGAGGTAGAACATCCTGTTGATTCAATAGTGAAAGGACTAAGTTTATAGATTACTTAGATTTTTCAACAATACATTAAAAAAATTATTTATAATCTGTCAATAAAACAAGACTTTCGTATTTTTTTAAACGTATAATAAGTTAGGGGGTTTGTTTTTATTCTTTATTTTGTGAGGGAATGCAATTTTAAATTTGATTTCAAGTATGTTTTAATTTAATATAATCGTCCAAAATATTTTAAAAGATATATAAGGTTATTAATCTTTAGTTTTATATCTTCACATTTATACTTAAATTATTTAAATAAATATTAACTTTGTAATAATGGTTTATACTTTATTATTTCTGGTATTTCTTTTCTTTTATTTTTGTCTAAGAATCTTTTTTTTTTTCTTAGATTCTTTTTGTAAATATTTTGAAAATATTTTTTTCAAGATAAAAAAGATTATTACTCACATACGTCGTTCAAATTTCTTTTAAAAGTCTCGCCAGACGATCATCCTAAATATCTTTTAAAGTCTCGCCAGACGATCATCCTAAATATCTTTTAAAGTCTCGCCAGACGATCATCCTAAATATCTTTTAAAGTCTCACCAGACGATCATCCTAAATATCTTTTAAAGGTCTCGCCAGACGATCATCCTAAATATCTTTTAAAGTCTCGCCAGACGATCATCCTAAATATCTTTTAAAGTCTCACCAGACGATCATCCTAAATATCTTTTAAAGTCTCACCAGACGATCATCCTAAATATCTTTTAAAGTCTCACCAGACGATCATCCTAAATATCTTTTAAAGTCTCACCAGACGATCATCCTAAATATCTTTTAAAGTCTCGCCAGACGATCATCCTAAATATCTTTTAAAGTCTCGCCAGACGATCATCCTAAATATCTTTTAAAGGTCTCGCCAGACGATCATCCTAAATATCTTTTTAAGTCTCGCCAGACGATCATCCTAAATATCTTTTATAGGTCTCGCCAGACGCTCATCCTAAATATCTTTTAAAGTCTCGCCAGACGATCATCCTAAATATCAGGTCTTTAAAAAGGCGAGTTATCCCTCCAGATGGTCATTTTAAATATCAGGTCGTTCAAAGGGTGATTTGTCTTACTAGACGGTCATCTTGAAATCAGATCTTTTAAAAGATGAATTGTCTTGCCAGACGGTCATCCTACAAAGTACATAAATTTCAATTTAAAGAAAATGCAGTAAATTTAAAACAAAAAAGTGCGTACGCATTTTCTTGAAAAAAGTTTTATAGGGACGTAATATTTGAAGCAAATGATAAAGAAAAATGAAATAGTTAAAAGTTAGTTGTTTTTAGACCAAAGACGTTTTAATAGATGGACGTTTAACGTATTGTTTAAAAGCCAAGATATCCATGCTACTCATTGTTACAAATAACAATAGCAAAACAATAGAGAACTATTTTTAACTTGAGAATATCTTTACTTGATTTTGCGTCAAAATAACGATAGTCTCGCCTAGCCTAAGAAATATTTAACATTCCATAACACCTAAAAACTCTAAAAAGCTTTTAAATAAATAAAACCTTTTCAGTATATGATCTATAAACTCAAGCAAAATCTTTAAATGGAAAAAAAAAGTTAATCACAGAAAAATATTAAAACAAAGTTGTGAGACAAAATTTCCGACAAAAATGAGAAATTTAAATACTTAAAATAATAGTGAAAACTAAGTGTAGGGAATAGAGACCACAAGTAATCTATAGTTCGATCTATATATGATCTACAGTTTTACCTACAACATCTAGAAAATTCGTTTCACTTTGCAGTATTCATTCTTGCAAACTAAATTGCACTTTTTTCAAAATATGATTTTTGACGTCTAAGTTTTATTAATAATAAGTTCTTATTAAAAAGCGCTCACGTATCAAATTTGACATTTTAAAACAGATGAGCTATTTCTGATTATCAGCGTAATTTTTTTTTTTCTTTCTCTAGCTCTTTTAAAAAAATTCAAGCTGGGGTAATAAACTAAATAGTTAATTGCGAATGATAGAAGAAATATGTTGGAATAAAGTTAAGTGGGACCGAAAACTACGTCGCACAAAACAATCTACCTGATGTATTTATATACCGCGGTGCTCTGTGATAAGACCGTTAGAATTTCTTGGACCACCATAAATAACTCTTAATGTTAAAGGGTTTTTTTTGGAAACGCCATAAATGTTAAACCTGTTTTTTACAGAGATTTAGGTCCAACAAGAACTAGGAAACAAAAAATTAACAAAATATTGATTATTAGAAACATATCTTAACTCATTTGAATTAATTTAATGGGTGTTTAATCTAAAATATTATTTTTCCCCCCAAATCATACTGTCTTATGGGGCTTTTGAATATACGTTAATTTGCATATAAGGTTATGATGAATGACTGCAAAGTTTTTTGTTATTATTAGTTATTTAGGTGCTCCAAGAAGTTCTAACGGTCTTATCACAGAGCACCGCGGAGTAGCGTTTAACCACAAACTTCACGCCTCCTACCTTAACAATGTTGCATATATGGCCAGAGCCAGCTTTGAGCCACGGATCTTCAGTTCTGAAGCCAGAACTCTGACCCCTACAGCACGGTTGCAATAATTAAAAATTTAAGAGTTATGCCGATAGTAATATCAACGTTTTTTAACAGTTTTTTTGTTCCGCTTCCATTAATTTTTATCACAAACAAAAGATTGATCAGAACTCGGTTTTGCTCTCTGATTATTGATCATAATCACTTTCATTGTTGTTGTTTTATAAAAATAACTTTTTTGCTACCTGATTGCTGCGACCACAAACAATATTTCATCTTTCCAATTGAAAAAAAGTAAACCAGACGTAAACTTAAGTCTACTTAAGTGTACTTAAGTACTTCAGTGTCGTTAAGTGTACTTAAGTACACTAAACTTGAGTTAATAATTTTGCACGCCAGAATTCGCATGTTTGATAATACTTGTCCTTCATTTTTTTCATCATTACTATTTTTTATTTTATTCTATTAAACAAACATGAAAATGTAAAAGTTTTTGTTAACCAAAAAAAGCTTCGAGAAGAAATAAAAACTCACCGAAAAGAGTTTCGGAAATAAGTTAAATGCTTAACCTCAATTTTGTAAAAATAAATTCTTAATCATGCGCAATAGGGTGACAATTTTTTTGCAAACAAAAAAAAAAAAATTACCCTTGCATCTAATTCTTTTCTACACCCATCAGTGATAGTAAAACTATTTTTGTTTAGTTATAAGGACTAGTATTAGTACTAGATGTAAAAATCAGAATTAACCATTATTAAAAATTTTTCTTAGTTCATCGTCAATATTTACTTCATCAAAATGATTTTAAAAGGTAAAATGTAATTTAATGTTATATTCATTAAATATTAAAATGTTTTGCAACTCAGTGTTATTTTATTCATTGAATAAAATAACACTGCATTGCAAAACATTTGAACAGTTTTAAACTGTTAACTAATAAAAAAAAATTATATATAGAAAAAAGGCGTAGTAAATATAGTTTCGGGAAAGGTTTGTTAAAGGTATTATTTAGTATATTATTTAGTATATGACATCAATTAAATTTAAGGAGTTGTTTTTAAATTAAATATAACTTAAAAAAAACATTAACAATTATTAAAGTAATTGCTAACATATAGAAACAAAGATGCAATCAAGTTTTGAAAAGAAGGCGAAGTATACTGTTCATCAGAATGTCAGTTGTAGGAGGCCTCTTTATGTTCTTAAATCTCAAGGCATTATCAATATTTAATTAGCAGTAGATTAAAACGATTCAAAAGTATTTACGATAATTTTTCTTGACTTATGGGGTCAGATTTTAACATGAAATGCAAAGGAAAAACGATGTGTTATCAGGAAAATGGAGAACTATGTCTTCTTAGAAAAATTGTGAATATCTGGGAGTCCTCTGGTTTTAAAAACTATATCATTAGAGAGGATCAAATATTATCAAAATTTGTAAAAATTCACAAAAAATGGATAACAATGACTAAGGGAAAGTTGCTAGTTGGGAAGAAAGATACCAAAAAAAAGTTAATTAAAGAATTTCAATCAATTATGGAGACTCTTCTTGACATTGGAAAATCTAACATTAAAGAGGTTATTCAATTCAGTCAAGATATGCCAAGAAACAAAGAGAGCAAAGAAGAAGATTTAGCATTTTTGGATGATCAAAAAAATTCCAGAAAACAGTTCTTAAATGGGCATATAGATAAAGAACTTGATGCAAGGATTGAACGTAGACGCGATATCGTAGGTATAACGATTATAAAAAAAAATCTCAATAGAGGCCAATGGAGATGTCTAATATGATAATGATGAGTGCTATGATTACTTGGGTTTAGAAGATTTAGAACTCTCAATTAAAAATGCTGATGAAAATGATTCAAATAAGATACAATTGAGATCTGAATTAGGTAATTTTTATCATGAAGAAACTAAAATGTATATTGTTACATTCGTGTTGTATATGCTTTATAGAATAAACTGTGAATATACCTTTTCATTTTTATTTTTTGTTAATATCATTATAGGTTTTTCAAATCTGGCATTGATGGTAGGTAACAAGTTATAATTCTGATGATGATGAATATCAACAAGAAACACCAAACGACGCTAAAAAAAAAAAGAAAAAAAACGGTGTGCAAGTTAAGCTTCGATCCAATTCAATCCTTGTTAATAAAGAAATTATTCGAGATGGCTTAATTGCAGCTACAACTCCTCTCAGTGTAAGAACCGGTTTAAGCTATCGAGATCAAACAATGTTTATAGCCAGTATCATGAACTACCTAGGAGTTGATATAAATAAATTAAAGATAAACAGAGAAACCGTCAGATTGAAGCGTAATGAGGTTGTTCATAATCACGGAAATGAAGTTAGAAAGAATTATATCAAATAAATAAGAGAAAAGAAATATTGTCCTTCACTTTGATGGGAAGCTAGTTAGAATTGTTGTGTCTGTTACTAGTCCTGAATTTCAACACAAGGATGATCTTCTCTTAGGAATTATTCCAAGTGACACAGGTAAAGCACCTGATCAAGCTTTAGTAATTCAAAATTTATTAGAATATTTTGAGGTTTCAGACCAAG